CCACGATTATTTATCCTGCCCGGATAATAACTGTCTATTCCAAATCCGGATGCAAATTCTGATTCAATGCAAACCGGGATCCGGCTCCGTTTCATTTCATTATGTTATTGGGTTTACACTTTGAACTTATAATCACAACGGCCAGTAGGTGCATCAAGGTGAAATGCAACTCTAAAACCCTCACATCAAACAGCACAGCCGCACAATCTGGTACGAACATATGAAAATACCATTTTATTCATACGTTCGAAAGTCAACGACTTGCTATCCGTTGCTCGCTGATTTCACCGAAGCAAAGAAAGATGAATTCCTTGCTCAAGGGAATAATCATTTAAAAAGAATTTTTCGAGCAATTCCAACCCAGCACCTCCGAAGTTCAAAGCTGGCATTTCATTGCTGCGTGACAACTCCGAAGTTTTTCATGCGTCACTAGTAATTTTCCTCCCAGCTGACATAACCCGATCGATAACAGTGCTGATTTGTTTTCCGTGTCTCTGCGATGCTTTTACTGATGCCGATCTGGTCTCAAAATGACTTGCTAACACAGTTGCCAAGTAAAGCGACCTCGTCAATTTACGTGCATTCAACACTGCCAGTTTCGTTCTAACTGTCGCTGAACATCTCGTAGTATGCGCTGGCTGTTTTAAGGAACTCTTTCAGACAGTGTATTAAAAAACCTTATGAATCACCTGCTCTACGTTTGCCGTGCCTTACGATTGTCAACAGTGATAAACTACAGTAAGTCGCTATGCATTCCTGGTTAGGGTCATTCGGCATCGAAATCGTTCGGAAACTTTTGGAGCAAACTGTTTTTCTGCATATATTCTTTAAAGTATTTAGCAGTTAATAAAGAATAGACGTCAAGACCCTAAGTTTAGAAACAGCTGTTGTTTGTCACATCGTTTCGACTCGTGCTACAGATCGGTACGTTGCTATTAATGACAAAAAATAGCGGCACACAGACGGGCTGATGTTCATTACTCCAAGGCTTTGCGTTAGAGCAAGGTTCCTGGTCACCTTAGGACCTATCATCTGCGGTCCTGCGCTTTCAGATTAAAATGAAACGTAATTTAATACTCCAAAATTGTTCTGAAAGAAAGATAACTGTCGCGCAGACCTGATCCGATTTCAGTTATTTAAAATGCGCTTCTGGTCATGATCTATGACCCTAAACTACACAAGCTTATGCGTAACCAAACCCGCGGATCATGCTGCCACAGTGCTTATACCAATTCACTGCCTGACCATTCGTTTATCGACTGGATGTATCGGAGCCCAATGAGGTGAATTTCTTGCACAAGGAAGTAAACAGATAATCAGTTTCGCTGTAGTTAAGAGTGATCCAGAAGGGCGTAGAGTGCTGCCTTCGCTATCTTAATAAAGATTTGCATACGTGATCCGCTGAACCGTAACAACTCGCTTAGTCTTTTTGTTTACTTTCTCCCATTCATCTGTATCACACCGTGGCCAGGATCAGCCAGCACTCGGTTTAAGGTGTAAAAATAGTACTTGAAATTGTACAATCTCGACATTTCTCACTGCACATTTATTTTTCACAATAATAGACCGGCAGTTGTACGTCAAAAACTCTTGAAATCACTGAACTGTTCCCCAAAAATACCACAGACATTACAAGAAGTGTACAAAGATAGCAGAGCAAAGGCTAATTTGAAAGTACCAGACTAAACACGGAAGTAACCAGGTTAAAAATTCTTTCGTCTCTGCTCTTCGATACTGTTCCAGACCTTAAGTTTAGAAACATCGCTAGCCGACACGATGATGAAATACCTGGTCACAGACGTAGCTTCCATGCATCCAGCCAAATACCTCGGCAACGCGGAATACTCAAGTGGCACTCTTACTTATAATGAAATAAGAGGAACAGATTTCGCAATCCGACCGCTTCCGGCTGGTATCCTTTATAACTGGAAAAGTCTATTATGAAATTTATTAGGAACCCTGTGAACACGGCAGAATTCAGGCGCCGCGTGAAAACAGTGCTGCAGAAAGCGTCATTCAACAATGGGCATGAGAGTAATGTTCAACAATAGTGCAGCCTAATTTTTAAGTGATCAGAAATCAAGCACTACTTAGAACTAGCTTTAAAATGGATCGTCCGTTCAAAATAAGACGTGTAAAACGTGAATTCCTTAGGCAACGCGTAAGCAGTAAAACTCTGACACAGAAGTCAAATTGATTACACGTGACGAGGAGCACTGATGATTACAACATTGAGAAACGAAATATCGCAATGAGTGCGGAACACGCTAGTGACTGCTGCAGCGAAGTCTTCAACACGATTGCCTCTACATGAGTAGAGGCTTGAATAGGCGCCTCATTTGTGCAAACACTTCTTACGCACCGTACTCTGACGCTTCTTCTGGTGAATGGTCCGCCGGTCCAAAACGGTCTATTCTTTCAACGAGCTAACTCTCTAAATCGATCAATCAAACTCCATTAATCTATGCAATGCGCGTTATTATCAGCGCACGGAAAATTTCAGATCCTCGAAAATACATCGGTTGATTGTTCAAAAGCAACGATCCAAATCTTTAAACACCGTAAACCGGTTAGCTGGTCTGACTGCGGGTAAAACCTATGCATTCAGTGCCTCCCACTGGTGTGCTGCTACTGGCATTTTATGTGCAATTGCTCTAGGTCCACTTTGACATCTTCGTGTTTCAGATCCATACTATACACAATAGCTCTTAGCCATTGCGCAATTTTATGGAAAACATTTTATT